TCACCAATCACTTTCAAACTTCTACTATATACTCTTAAGACGTAGGGGAAAAAATTCAACCGTCGCATTTTTCAAAAGTTGAAAGGTGTGGGCGTGGCTAAGTCTCAAACTTTGACCTTTCGCCATTACTTTACTTGACTTAATAACTCCCATGTGCAAGATCAGATCTTTTTCAAACTTTGTCTGTGTGATCATTGACCATATCTGTAAAAAATGACAATGTGGACAGCTGACATCACCTAAGCCCCGCCCCCTGACCACAGGAAGTCTATTTTTTTATGCTGAAATGCCCATATTTGTCCCCTCTAATTTAGTCAACAAGACACCAAGGTCATGCACTGTCTTCATGATGCTGTATTGACCATTCAGATCTGATAGCTTTCCAGAAAGGGAAGGGCTTTGATGCCATGGCGAATTCTGGCGTAACGCCGCACCCTTACAATTCAATTTAATGGTGAGCTCAGAGGGGATGCTGAGTAAGGGTGAGGTGCGGACTAGGAGGCCATTTGCGGTTTCTAGTGTCGGGGCGGTTGACGTTTCTGTTCTGCCAGACGTGCCCTGGTGCCCCGGGCTGTCGGCCAGGCCGGAGCGGCGCGGAGCTGCGAGGGCCGAACGACGCTGCTTGCAGCTTTAATTATTTTTTATTATTCTTAGCCCGCTTTGAACGGCTTTTTGGGGACCTTAACATACCCCAAAACTCACAATATTTTGCAAACTTGTCAGGCCTGGTGAAAAATTTGATATTTTAAAGGTCCCAAAAAAATCGCAAAGAAATTGGCTGAACAGCGCCCCCTAGAAAGTGAAAAAAAGCCCTCTCCATAAAGCTTAGTTTATCGTACAGTTATGAAATTTGGTACACTTGTAGTACTCAACAGTCCGCACAGAAAAGTCTCTTGCAACCATGGTCAATATCAAACAGGAAGTCGGCCATTTTGGGTTGAAATGGCGATTTTTTGCAGTTTTTGCCGTTTTTAGGGTCCGTTCCTGATTGGATTGCTCGATCATTTTTCGCACGATCGTCTCAAAAATTGTGTAAAATTGCTAAGAAGGGATGGGCGAACAAAATGAGATGAGAATTCTGAGTTTTCGTATATGTTGAAGGGGCGGGGCCAGGCCTCGAAGTTTGACTACTCGCCAAAAATATTTAAATTGCTATAACTTCATAACTGAATGGAATAGAGTTACCAAACTTTCTGTGGTCATTCGTCATCCACCCACAAAGTAAATTGAATGGTCGGATGATGACATCACACAAGCCCCGCCCCCTCAGGACCAAAAAGATCAAGTTTTACTGTGAAAGGTCCCAAATTGCCCCATTTCACTTAATCACCACAAATTTGTAGCTGGTAACTCAAGACAAGTGGGGGTTGCTTGGCGTCACTTTATGGGAGTTTTCGGCAGAGGGCGGGGCTGTGGCGGCGCGGCGAATTCAGGCGTACCGCCGTGGCCTTACGTTTGCCTCCCATTTCGTCATTTCCAAAGATATCGTCACGAAACTTCTTGTGAGTGATCCTAGTCCGGCCCCCCAAAAGATCTGATGTGAACATCTGGTGGGCGTGGCCTATTTTCTGAAATAGCGCCCCCTAGGACCATTAAAACTGTCAGCCCCAAGCCATGCTTTGACTGAGGATTACGAAATTTGGTACACTAATGTGGTGTCTCAGGACCTACAAAAAAGTCTCTTGGAGCCAAGTGCAAAGTCGCACAGGAAGTCGGCCATTTTGGTCCAAGTGCGCGATTTAGTGGTTTTCACACACGTTGTTTGGAGAGTGATACTCCGTCGCCCTTTTCACCAATCACTTTCAAACTTCTGCTATATAGTCTTAAGACATAGAGGAAAAAATTCAACCGTCGGATTTTAAATAAGTATAAAGGTGTGGGCGTGGCTAAGCCTCAAACTTTGACCTTTCGCCACGCCACTCTTTTTTTCACAGCTCCTTATTGGACTCCTTTTACCCAATCACCAGGAATCTCTGGTAAATAGCAGCAGGCAAGTTGAGGTCACTTGGTCTCCAGTACTGGAAGGTTTTGAAAAAAGGCGGGGCTTTGGGAGCATGGCGAAATTCGCCATCACGCCATGGAAATACGTTTGCCTCTCATTTCTTCATTTATCGTGATATCACCTCGACCATTGTTGTGAGTGATCCTAGTCTGACCCCCAATAGAAAAGGTCAGCTTAAGTTTGTGGGCGTGGCCTATTTTCTGTATTAGCGCCCCCTAGGACCATTAAAACTGTCAGCCCCAAGCCATGCTTTGACTGAGGATTACGAAATTTGGTACACTAATGTGGTGTCTCAGGACCTACAAAAAAGTCTCTTGGAGCCAAGTGCAAAGTCGCACAGGAAGTCGGCCATTTTGGTCCAAGTACTCGATTTAGTGGTTTTCACACACGTTGTTTGGAGAGTGATGCTCCGTCGCCCTTTTCACCAATCGCCTTCGAGCTTCTGCTATATACTCTTAAGACATAGAGGAAAAAATTCAACCGTCGGATTTTAAATAAGTATAAAGGTGTGGGCGTGGCTAAGCCTCAAACTTTGACCTTTCGCCACGCCACTCTTTTTTTCACAGCTCCCTATTGGACTCCTTTTACCCAATCACCTGGAATCTCTGGTAAATAGCAGCTGACAAGTTGAGGTCACTTGGTCTACAGTACTGGCAGGTTTTGAAAAAAGGCGGGGCTTTGGGAGCATGGCGAAATTCGCCATCACGCCATGGCAATACGTTTGCCTCTCATTTCTTCAATTATCGTGACATCGCCATAAAATGTCTGGTGAGTGATCCTAGTCTGACCCCCAATAGAAATGGGCATCTGAGATTTGTGTGCGTGGCCTATATTCTGAAATAGCGCCCCCTAAGACCATTAAAACTGTCAGCCCCAAGACAAGGTTTGACTGAGGATTACGAAAATTGGTACACTCATGTAGGGTCTCTGGCCCTACAAAAAAGTCTCTTGGAGCCAAGCGCAATTTCGCACAGGAGGTCGGCCATTTTGGTCCAAGTACTCGATTTAGTGGTTTTCGCACACGTTGTTTGGACATTGATGGCCCGTTGCCCTTTACACCGATCACCTTCAAACTTATGCTATGTACTTTTAAGTCAAAGGGGAAAAAATTCAACCGTCGGATTTTAAATAAGTATAAAGGTGTGGGCGTGGCTAAGCCTCAAACTTTGACCTTTCGCCATGACATTACTTGACTTAATAACTCCCATGTGCATGATCAGATCTAATTCAAACTTTGTCTGTGTGATCACTGACCACATCTCAAGACAAAGACAATGTGGACAGCTGACATCACCTAAGCCCCGCCCCCTGACAACAGGAAGTCTATTGTTTTATGGTGAAATGCCCATATTTGTCCCCTCTAATTTAATGAAAATGACACTCAGGTCATACAGTGTCTTCATGATGTTTTAAAGACCATTCAGATCTGATAGCTTTCCAGAAAGGGAGGGGCTTTGATGTCATGGTGAATGCTGGCGTGACGCCATGACCTTACATTTGACTGTAACTTCCACAAACGGCCTCCGATTTGCCCGAAACTGAATATGGCAATGAACAATCATGCCCTTTAGCCAATGAGGCACAAACGGTTGGTGAATGTTATATAATGTCACCAAAGCTGACCTCAATGGGACTTTTCTGTAGTTGGTCACAGCGCCACCTAGATAACGTTATCCTTCGATAACTTTAAAAAACATGGTCAGAATAGCATTAAAGTTGGTCACTGTCATCACACCACCAGTGTGGTAAAGATAGAGGATTCCCTAGTGGTGAGACATAAAATATAATGGTGGGCTCAAAGGGGATGCTGAGTCAGGGTGAGTTGCGGACAAGGTGGCCGTTAGCAGTTTCTGGTGTTGGGGTGGTCGACGTTTGTGTTCTGCGGATGTGCCCTGGTGCCCCGGGCTGCCGGCCAGGCCGGAGCGGCGCGGAGCTGCGAGGGCCGAACGACGCTGCTTGCAGCTTTAATTTCAGTTTGTTCTTCTGTAATGCAAGATTTAGTTTTTAATAATCCACTTTTATTGATCTAAAAAAGTTGCACAATATTTGAGAACGTACATTATTTTTTTAAATATAACCTTCTGCTGTCTTCAAATCTCACTTAATTTCAGGGAACACTAAAGACGGACAAAAACGGTTGGTTTTTCATATATCAGTATCAACTGATCTTGTAATATTTTTTCCCATATTGTCCAGTCCCACTGCTGAATGTCAAAATTATTATTGACACTTAAGGGGGCTGCCCATCACCCAGAGACTGATGTATTTTATATTTTTCCTTTTTGTAATTTTTTTTAATCAGAGAGACAAAATCGCCTCTTAGAGTTGAACATTCCGTTTCTCCTCCAGGACACTGTTTATAGTTCTGACTGAATTAAATACAGAGTCAAATGTGACATTTTATTTCACGGTGAAGACAACAGAAGACAAGTCTTGCCTTGCTGTGCATGACCTGCTACTCTCCTTCCTAGCAAGAGGGTTATTTTCTCACTCTGCTTCCGGATGAATACTTTCTGATGTAAAAAACGAAGCGAAACAAACATCTGGCGAAGTTTTTTTTCCCGTTGTGTTGTGCCCAAACAAAAGCGTGACCGTCAAAACAGAGGCATGTATCAAACCGCAACTTGGGATCCTGTAAACATTCAAATACAGTTCTAAAAGCTAATGTCTACATTTGCTGTTTTAAATATTAATCAATGTTTATCGTATCTATGATGAACGCTTATTACTCATTTTATTACTGAACTGATACACAGGCCGACATTATAAAAAAAAGGGTGAGCTTCGCACGCACGACGTAAATCTGCAGTAACGGACTGAGTTCAGGTGAAGAGTCGTGCTAACTACCTAGCTAGCTACTGAAGGTATCCACGTGAGGAGTAAACTTAAGGGGTTACGTTTAGCCCCTATGTATCGATCATTTCCTCCCAAGTGGAGTCGGTTTACCGTCAAGATCACTTGGTCTATATGTAAACTGTGATACTTTAAAATGTCCTACCATTTCAAGCTTTGGTTTCTTTTCCATTTCTCCGGCCATGCTTCAGGCTTTTTCCCCCTTTTTCTTCTTCGGGTGTTTTATTGCGGGTGGCATACGTGCATTTCTGCCACCTACTGTGCTGGAGGGGGTCTATCGCACTCTTGATGGGTCACACTGATCAGTCCTGAGTTGTTGATCCTCATCTTTGTCTGACAGGCATAAAGCGCAAACAAATTTCTAAATTCTATTTAAATATTTTAACATTTGGGTAAGCAGATGTTCAAGTTCGTAACAAATATGTATAACTTTAGATTATTTGTACAAAATTAGTTGTTCATTTTGGGTAAATAATTTGTTTTATTTGAGTAAACTACAAATACTTAAATTTATCTGAAAAAATAAAATACAGTTTTAGTCTGGTAGTTCTTCCTTTACGGTATCAACACATTATTGATCTGAAAAACGTCCACAAACCAATTTTATGGACATTTGTTCGCCTGAAAGTCTTTCAAAAGGGCCAATTTAACGCACACCTTCTATTGCTGTAATCAGAACAGAATTACGCATGAAAACATGTGACGTTGAACGTCACGTGTTTGTCTGAAAAGAATTGTAGTTCAATAACAGAACCAATGCGTTAAAATGTGGCTTTAGAAACTACATTACCCAATAGTGGGTTGAGGTCATTTCCGTTTTTTTGATTTTGCTAGTCAGAAGTCACTCAAAAAGGATTAGCTAGCAGCTCAAACAGCTTATGTGGCTATTAAAACTCTACGAGATACTTTGAGCATCGCTGACACATTGAGGTAATACATTTATTTGTGTTTTCTGTGGTTGTTTGGTTTATTTTGTTACCATGACATAACGTAACATCACACCTCCCTAACGCAGCTGTGTTTTGTTGAACAACATTAGCTAGCTAGTTTTTCTCCAAGCTTTTGTTTTGTCTCTCTAGAAATTACTTGAGTTTAACACACGAGCTGGCGGCTGCTCGCCTGTATTTGAATATTTCAGATGAACACGATTTTTCTTATTTGTTTAAACAAGCTCCTGCTTGCCCATATGGCTTTATTGGCCCTAATATCCACCCATCTCTATACTTCCGTAATTTTACTGTCTACAGGTACATAGCTGAATCCCCCCAGCTGTTGCCATGGCAATCCTGTTTGCTGTGGTGGCTCGTGGAACCACTATTCTGGCGAAGCATGCTTGGTGCGGTGGGAACTTCCTGGAAGTCACAGAGCAGATTTTGGCCAAAATTCCTTCAGAGAACAACAAGCTGACCTACAGCCACGGCAGGTAAAATCCTAACGCAGTGCATCTGTCCAGAAGCTGTTTCAGAAACACTCTTGGTGACAGATCTCAATGACTTTCTCCTTTTTGTTTGTTTTTATAGCTATCTCTTTCATTACATCTGCCATGACAGAATCATATACCTGTGCATTACTGATGATGTGAGTATACAACAACGTTACCTGCCAAATAAGGATACTTATCTACTCACGAATATATAGTGTCACAGGAAAATGCATCTTTTTAATCATGTAGCCTCCTGATTTAGATTGAGTAGTTCTTTATGTCCTGCTTTAAAACAGCCAGACTTTCTCATATGCTTTTAAAGTTGGATGATTAATAATTCTAAAGTCTTTCAGGTTTTTTTTCCTTTGAACTGATTTCTGAGGATTGTTTTGGTTCTGTTTGTTAAGCTTTAAGTTATTTATCTGTGGCGTATAATTCATTCATGCATTAAAAAAGCCTTAGATACTAACAGGTGTTGTGTTGTGGTTTAACAAACAACTTGGCAAAGGGCCAGTTAGGATCTTTAGGCACTTTGCTACCAGCAGCCTGCCACAGACACTATTTTTGTTCCCATTTATTTAGTATAATCTGTAAAAAGTAACACAGTGTTGCAGTTGGTAGCAGTGTTGCCTCGCTGCAAGGTCGAAGGTCAAAATCTGTCCTTTCTGTGTGTAGTTTGTATGTTCTCCACATGCATGTGTGGGTTTTCATGGATAATGCATTGTCCACTGAATCAAAACGTTCACATTAAGGCTGACTGGAGACTTTGTCCCTAGGTTTGAGTGAGTGTGTGACTGGTTGTTTGTCTTTCTGTGTGATGGACTAGCCTGATGACTGCTAGGTTAGACACCAGCTCCCGTGACCCTAGTTAGTTAGACCGAAGCGGTTCAGATAATGGATGGATCAATAACGAAATAACACTGAAAAGTTTACGTCCTGTCAGGTCTTTGATTGTTTTTAAAAGTATTTCTCAAACAAAGCTTTGGTACTTTACACCTGCTGTTCTTTAGGTCTTCTTTTGCCCATTGGTTCACATTCCTCATTTTTTCAAGAGCATGCTGCACAACATCCTGTCATGGTCAGGTATGAGAAGAGGAAATGAGTGGAGAATCTACCAAAGTCCAAAAGAACACTTTAAACGAGCGTCAGAAAGTCTGGTGGTTTAGTGATCAATGCCACTAGAAAACGTCAGTCTGCTTCCTTTCAAGCAAAAATTAAAAAGACAAATCTGTGTTTCAAAATGTTATTATTAAAGCAGAACACTCACACTGTTCCACCCTTTTTAGTGAATCTTGGTTTGTTTTAACTCACTTTATTTTTATTTTTTGGTGGCAGGACTTTGAGAGATCACGTGCGTTCAGCTTCCTCAGTGAAGTCAAGAAGCGTTTCCAAACGACGTACGGCTCCCGAGCTCAAACAGCTCTACCCTACGCCATGAACAGCGAGTTCTCCTCAACACTAGCAGCTCAGATGGTGGGTGCAGCAAAAGGCTGAGGACATTCAGAAAAAAATTTGCAGACTAAATGTTAGTCAAACATTCAAGTATTATTATGAAGCGCGTTTAAAAATGGCTGTCACTGACCAGAGTCTTTAAGGGATATAATAAAAGAAATGAGTGAAATAGCACAAGACCATAAAGGTAGAGGAAACCAGAATAAAAGTGTAAAAGCTAATAAGGAATTTATGTTCAAGTCAAAGTCTCCAGAAAACCTCTCGGGGTGGGGGTGCGTTAAATCAGCTGTTTCCTGATCAGAAAAGCCCTTCACTGCCAGCGTTTTTCAGCGTTTTCACAGTTTTTTTAAGAGTCACCAAACATTCTGCTGTATGATGATGTCAGCGCCAAAACTACCAAAACAAAGCGGAGACTCGCCTCTCACATCAGGAAGAATCCGCACATTTCGAGCGTTATCCGTTCTTTCATAATCCGTTGTTGAACTGTGATCGGCAGAAGCTTTTCCGGTTCGCGCCTCACTTTTTTTACAGCAGCGGCCCAAAACGATCTCCTAACACATGGATGTTCTGCTTCCTGATCACATGACGTGTGAGGTATGCAGATGAAGATCGGCTTTAGAGCTGAGATGTTTGTTCTTACGGTGCGGGGGCTCGTCCGACGCCCACACAGTAAAAATGAGTTAATAGATTTTTTTTACTGATCTGGGGAACTAATTTTGAAAGAGAGAGATTTGCTCTTTCAATTGATTTTTTTTAAGACTTTTTACCTGTACCTGGTAATTTGGTGTGGGTGTTTGCTGTGCTGAGCATTTATAAACTTGTTAAAAAAAAACTCAATTGTCTTAAATATCCACCAAATTATTATAGTGAAGCTACACTTGTACGCACAGTTGTTTCCCCACCTGTGGGTTTTCCAGTCATTAGGAAGTGGGCCCTTTGCTTTTGTGCACAACATTTGTCTTAAGCAGTGATGGGAATAACGCCGTTTAAAATAACGGCGTTGCTAACGGTGTTCTTTTTTTGTGTAATGGAATAATCTAATTAATTACTTTTCCCACTGTTGCAACGCCGTTACTGGGGACGGAAGGTTGTGCGTTACTGTGTGCTTGTCAAACGTTGAGCAACAGTGTGAGGCTTTCTGACCGCCACACTTCAGCTGCAGCCTGGGAGAGAGAGGTGTCGATAACACACAAACACGATGATGATTGGCCGGGTGGGCGGAGACCCTCAGTGTTCTCACGGTCTCAGTCACTGCATGCTGTAGACACAACAGAGCAGTTTAAAATAACCGCGTTACTAAAAAATATTTTTTTTTCAGTAACAAGCAAACTAATTACCGTCTTCTTTTAACAAAACGATCGTTTCTGTTACTGATAAGAAAATGCGTGCTTTAAGCTGCGCAGTGTCTTGAAGCTGTCATCAGCTGATCAGGAGCTAAAGAGGTAGATGTTTTCATCCAAGAGCATCACGGCCGTGAAGAACGGGGAAGACGTGATGAATATCTACGGCTGCAGGTGTGGGTCTGCAGCCGTGCCCTTCTTAGCGTGACAGCGGGACGTCCAGAAGGTCCGCTCACCTGTTCACCGCTCAGACGTCCTGATCTTCTACCTTCCTAGATCATCCAGCTGTAACCTGTTTCTGATCATGTCTTTAGTCCCGCTGTAACACTGATGCATCAGTCTCAGACGTCATGGAGCTCAGGTGTTATTAGAACTACCTGTGTGTGTTTACCACCCCGCTGCTGTGGTTGGGTCTGACCCAAGTTAGTAATCCGTCAGATTTGTGCCTCTTCTAGTGTCATTTTAAAGGATTTTATTTATTTATTTATTTAACCGTTACTAGATTAGCAGCAACAGAAATGCTACTAAAACACACAATTATGTGAAGCTGGAAAAATGAAAATACTGTACAAATTTACATTTATTTCTGTAATTTTACTAGACTGAGAGACCATTTAAAGGCTCATGAACCTTTACAGGTGTTTCTATTTGCAATTTTAAATTTTAGCTGATTAGGGTCTTGTTAACTATCACACAGTGACCTTTTAATAGTCTAGGTAAGTGTAATGCTCCTGTTAAGTGCTTATTTATTTAAATTATTCAGGTTTATTAAGAACATTTGGACATACATTTTATTATGTTCCAGTCATTAGTCATTTATATTTCATTATTGTAGTAATTTATAGTAAATTAAGTAAGTTTAATTAACCCATTTTCTTGCGTTCTTTAATGAAAAAGTAACTAAGTAGTTATTTTTCTTGATAATTAGTTACTTTTATAATCTCGTAACTGTAAGTAACTGAGTTACTTTTTTGACAAAGTAATTAGTAACTATAACTAATTACTTTTTAAAAGTAACTTTCCCAACACTGGTCTTGAGTGAAAAATCGATCTCATGTATGTCGTGAAGGAACAAGTCCGTAGTGTGTATCTGACTGTTGCCTGCACACACGGACATCTTTTCTGTTAGCTTTTCTTGCAACATCATTGCCTAAGAAGCTTCAGAGTTGAAGGTAAAATTAGAGTAAAGCTGGTGGGGAAACAGATTTTGACACAACACCCTCATTAAAGGAAGGAAGTTAACCCTTGACCAGTTGTAGGGAGGTGCAAGGATTTCTCAAATGGCCAGAAGACATTTTTAGAAAAGGTGATTACTACCAAAGGTTTTGCAACTGTTTTCTACTTATTTTGGTTTACTTTGAATCTCTCTGCAGAAACACCACTCAGACCCCCGGGCATCAGATCGAGTCACAGAGACTCAGATGCATGTTGATGACCTGAAAGGCATTATGGTCCGCAACATAGGTAAGATGGTTAGGGTAGGTTCTACATACGTGATGGTCGAAGCAAAAGTTCATATCTTTTAATGCTTCATTAGGCCCAAGCAGCAAAAGCGCTGTGAAGGCCTATTGTATCTGCTCTGTTTATTTTTCTTCCGCCAAGTAAATTGGCTTTTTGGAGGCCTTAACGTACCCGAAAACTCAGGAATTTACAGGAAGTCGGCCATTTTGGTTTGAAGAGGTGATTTTGACCCCGTTTTGGCCGTTTCTAGGGTCCGCTTCTGATTGATGTACTCGATCGTTTTTCGTATGATCATCTCGAAAATTGTGGGAAATTGCTCAGAAAGAATGTGCGATCCATCCATCCATTTTCATCCGCTTATCCGAAGTCTGGTCGCGGGGGCAGTAGCCTAAGGCGAGGCCCAGATTTCCCTCTCTCCAGCCACTTGGACCAGCTGTTCCGGGGGAATCGCAAGGCGTTCCCTGGCCAGGTGAGAGACATAGTCCCTCCACCGTGTCCTGGGTCTACCTTTATGTCTCCTCCCGGTTGGACGTGCCCGTAAAACCTCACCAGGGAGGCGTCCAGGAGGCATCCTGACCAGATGCCCGAGCCACCTCAACTGGCTTCCCTCGATGTGGAGCAGCAGCGGGTCTACTCCAAGCCCCTACCGAATAACCAAGCTTCTCACCCTATCTCTAAGGGAGAGCCCAGTCACTCTTCGGAGAAAACTCATTTCGGCCGCCTGTATCCGCAATCTCGTTCTTTCGGTCACTGCCCAAAGCTCATGACCATAGGTGAAGGTAGGAGCGTAGATCGACCGTTAAATCGAGAGCTTCGCCTTCTGACTCAGCTCTCTCTTCACCACGACAGGCCGGTACAACGCTCGTGTCACTGCAGATGCAGCACCAATCCACCTATCGATCTCACGCTCCAGTTTTCCCTCACTCCTGAACAAGACCCCGAGATACTTAAACTCCTCCACTTGGTGCAGGACCTCATCCCTGACCCGGAGAAGGCATTCTACCCTTTTCTGATGGGCGATCAAATAGAAAAAATAAAACTGACTTTTCGTATATGCTGAGGGGGCGTGGCCAGGCCTTGAATTTCTACTACTCGCCAAAAATATATAAATGGCTATAACTTCATACTCGAATAGAGTAGAGTTACAAAAATTTCTGTAGTCATTCGACATCCAGCCACAAACTAAATTGAATGGTCAGATGATGACATCACACAAGCCCGTGTGGGCTGCCTGGTGGCGCAGTATTTAGCACTGTTGCCTCGCAGCACGAAGGCTGCAGGTTCGAAACTCGGCTGTGGCCTCTCTGCGTGGAGTTGCGTGTTCTCCCCATGAATGCTTGGGTTTCCTCCGGGTACTCCAATTTCCCCCACAGATCACAACATGCCCTATAGGTTATAAATTGTAATTCGCTTTGGATAAAAGTGTCTGCCAAATAAATAAACATAAAAATAAACATAAACATAAACAAGCCCTGCCCCCTCAGGGCCAAAAAGGTCAAGTTTTACTGTGAAAGGTCCCAAATCGTCCCATTTCAGTTAATCACCACAAATTTGTAGCTGGTAACTCAAGACAAGTGGGTGTTTCTTGGTGTCACTTTATGGGAGTTTTCAAAAGAGCGTGGGGCTGTGGCGGCACGGCGAAGTCAGGTGTACCGCCATGGCCATACTTTTGCCTCCCATTTCGTCATTTCTGAAGATATTGCCATGAAATTTCTGGTGAGTGATCCTAGTCCGGCCCCCCAAAAAATCTGATGTGAAAATCCGGTGGGCGTGCCCTGTTTTCTTAAATAGCGCCGCCTAGGACCATTAAAACTGTCAGACCCAAGCCATGCTTTAACTCAGGATTACGAACACTAATGTGGTGTCTCAGGACCTACAAAAAAGTCTCTTGGAGCCAAGCGCAAAGTCGCACAGGAGGTCAGCCATTTTGGTCCAAGTACTTGATTTTGTGTTTTTTGCACACGTTGTTTAGAGAATGATGCCCCGTTGCCCCTTTTCACCGATCACCTTCAAACTTCTGCTATATACTCTTAAGCTATAGGGGAAAAATTCAACTGTCGGATTTTTCAAAAGATGAAAGGTGTGGGCGTGGGTAAGCCTCAAACTTTGACATGTTGCCACGCCACTCTTTTTTTTACATTGGACTCCTTTCACCCAATCACCAGCAATCTCTGGCAAACAGCAGTAGACAAGTTGAGGTCACTTGGTCTCCAGTACTGGCAGGTTTCGAAAAAAGGCGGGGCTTTGGGAGCATGGTGAAATTCGCCATCACGCCATGGAAATACGTTTGCCTCTCATTTCCTCAGTTATCATGATATTGCTACGAATTCTCTGGTGAGTGATCCTAGTCTGACCACCAATAGAAATGGACGTGATAGGTTGGTGGGCGTGGCCTATTTTCTGAAATTGAAGATCATGAATTGGTGACTGTGGTCTTCGCAACCCGAGTCGCGCTACCTTTATTAATCACCTAAGCTCCGCCCCCTGACAACAGGAAGTCTATTGTTTTATGGTGAAATGCCCATATTTGTCCCCTCTAATTTAGTCAACATGACACTAAGGTCATGCACTGTCTTCATGATTCTGTAATGACCTTTCAGTTCTGATAGCTTTCCAGAAAGGGAGGGGCTTTGATGCCATGGCGAATTCTGGCGTGACGCCGTGACCTTACGTTTGACTGTAACTTCCACAAACAGCCTCCGATCTGCACGAGACTGAACTTGGCAATCAACAATCATGCCCTTTAGCCAATGAGTCACAAACGGTTGGTGAATGTTGTATAATATCACCACAGTGCCCCTACATACCTTTAAAACTGTAATAACGCGTACAGACGAGGTCACAACTGCACCAAACTTGCTTTGTGTCATCACATGAAGGCACCCAACACAATCCTGTGGTCATTGGTTGATATAGCTTTAGCTCCGCCCCCTGACAGATATTAGGCCCTGAATAACGCATGCATGATGCAATTCACACCAAACTGCACACAAATGACTGTTATCAACCTACAAACTGCTTCGTGGAATATTTCCTAAATTTGGGACAGCGCCCCCTAGATACAATAAAACCTTTGTAACTCCTGCAAAAAAGCTCCAAACTATATCAAACATGGTGGGAGTCATCACGCAACTGCAGTCAACACATATATGTACTCACTCGTTCAAATCACTTTAACTCCGCCCACTTACAGCTTTTTGTCTCTAGATGACCCATGCAACGTTTGATTGATGCCAAATTAACAGAAAACCATCTTTGATGACCAAAGATGACCTCTATGGGATTTCGTTGTAAATGGTCATAGCGCCCCCTAGATGGGTTCAAACTTTATTAACTTCTAAAGACAAGGTCAGAATGGCATTATACTTGGCTTGTGTCATCACACCACCAGCGTGGTAAAGATAGAGTATCCCCTAGTGGTTACATGTGTAATTTAATGGTGGGCTCAGAGAATATGCTGAGTCAGGGTGAGGTGCAGACGAGGAGACCGTTCGCGGTTTCTGGTGTCGGGGTGGTCGATGTTTATGTTCAGCACAGAGAACTCAGCCAGAGGAGAACGTAGCTTCAGACAACTGGGTTTGGAGGCTTATATCCTGATATTTGGACATCTTGTCTCTGATTGGCTAACGGCAATGTGACTCCACTACTGACTCTGCTCTGCAGTGGTTATGATGTTTTATCTCCACAAATAACACAAGCCTGGAGGAGTTCTGCTGTGTGGTGGAGTTGCTTATGCTAACGGTTAGCTTCTGCTAGTCAAGACGTTCTCTGCCGTTTCTTGAACGCTAAACCAAAGTCAAGATGGGTGAGTCCATGAATGTTAAGTGACGGTGTGACGTAGATCTGTCAGGCTTTTCAAAACTTTAGCGTCTCACCGTCTATTTTCTATCAGAAGCTAATGCAGGAGATCGATGTAGGAGACTACTGGGGCAGCAGTAGCTCAGGTGGTAGAGCGAGTTGCCTCATGGTCGGAGGGTCATGGGTTAGATTCCAGCTCCCGCCAGGGCTATCCTGCTGTTGTGTCCTTGGGCAAGACACTTCACCCAACTTGCCTGTGTTAGTGGTGGTCAGAGGGGCCGACGGCGCCAAATGGTGGCCTCGCCTCTGTCAGACCTCCCCAGGGCGGCTGTGGCTACAAGTAGCTTACCATCACTAGCAGTGTGTGAATGTGAGAGTGTGTGAAAGCGTCTTTGGGTGTCTAGAAAAGCGCTATATAAGTTCAATGCATTATTATTATTATTTTCATGTTCAGCCTGCATGAAAAACTCAGAGTGACTGATTATAATCAGGAGTAATCATTAAAAATGTTTTTCAGTGTTCCACAACTTTAAGTTTTGGTTTGGAAACCAGAATCTGGTGATGCAATAAAAAGAGGAAGGGTGTTATTGAGCCTCATGTTTGTGACAAAGTGGCTAACTAGTACCATGACAGCGTTGTCTCTCTGATTTAACTATTGCTTATCGTGTCAGCTGAATCCTTTATTCAGGCGCTGGAGCCACATAGATGTGACTTCCTGCTCCCTCAAAAGGCTGTGCCTCGTTTTGGGTGGAATAAATGATGTAAAGCTGTTGGTGACAAATTGGAAACAAGAGCAAGGTTGTGTTTAAAATGGTCTGTGATGCATTTTGAACAGCGAACATATAAAAAAGTAATATTTTGTTTTCGTCAATAAAGTTGCATCTAGCTACAGGTGTATTAGTTAACTGCCTTATTCCATTATTGTGTGTACATATAAATGCCATCATAAAAATATTTCAGCTGTATAGGCGCTTCCTCGTACACCTAAAAATTTACTTGTTTTTGATAGATCTGACATTGTTTTTAGTTAATTTTCGACTGAAGTAAAATATGTGAAGGTTCTGCAGCCACCTGGCAGAAAAGGTGCTGGTTACCATTCTTTATTTACTAAGTTTTCTGTTGCCTCAACAGGAAACTTACAACCAAATCAGTAAAGTAAAGCTGCATCATTCAAAAATAAATGAGTATAATATGCATGTGTGAGAACACTTTTCCTGTGAGACACAATGGGGCCCCTAGGTGGCGATATTTGTCCAATCTCAGCCCATATTTGTGACAGCTTTGTTCACAGACTGACTTGATTCTTTGTCACTGATGTTGGGTTTTGCTGTTTGTTCACTTGAATAGTTAATACGGTACTGTAGTCCTGGTTCTGTCTTAGCAAAAAGCTCAGGAGCTCCAGGCTATACCTGGCACTTAACCACACCACACGTTTACAAACGCACTAGTGCAGTTGTGACAATAATTATAGAACACATTTTATGCTCACTTCATGCCTGAGATGCTGCAGCTCAGAAAAGAAAAGAAGCTCTTTGAATTCTGAGCAAAAAACCATTTTCGTTGGAGTCATTTTGGGTTTCTAGTGTATTTTTGTTTGTTTTTTCCTCTCAAGTGAGCATCTTAGTGATTCTATCAGTCGGTGTGTTCTCCATGCTGTACCTGTTTAGTGCTTGAAACCTGAAAATGTGTGGATTACTGTATGAAAACAACCCTTTGATGGGGTCATTGTGCTAAAGCCTTTGTGTTGTTTTTACAGACTTGGTCGCTCAGAGAGGAGAGAAGCTGGAGTTGCTGATTGACAAGACGGAAAACCTGGTTGATGCTGTGAGTGGATTAGCTGGCTGCCATTCTTGTTTCTGAGCTAACCGCGAGATGGCTGACATCTTTTTCCTCTCTCTGCTCCGTCAGTCAGTCACGTTTAAAACCACGAGTCGGAACCTTGCTCGGGCCATGTGTATGAAGAACCTCAAGCTGACGTGTGTTATTGTACTGGTGTGCCTGGTAAGTCCAGGCTGCGGTTATTTGTTGTTTAGTTGGTGTCTTTTAGGAACTTGGAGCATTGTTTCTATAGTAATGTCTCTTGCTAAGTACACTGTGTGTTCTTTTTAGGTGATCATCTACATCATTGTTTCTGCTTCCTGTGGAGGACTCAGCTGGCCCTCGTGTGTCAAGAAATGAGAGGGGAGTGGGGAGAAAAGAGGGGCACAAGTGCCGGTTCAGCTTTGCTTGCCAGTGGACAAAAGGAAATTAAACATTCTTTCCTTTCTCCTCTTTTCTTCAAAAATTCTGAAAGATATGTGCTTTTTTTCCTCCTCTATCTTCATTCTCATTTTGAATGACGTCTGCACATTTATTTCCTTCTGGACCGGGAGTTCATCTTTATACCTAAACTTGTGAACAGCTCCTACATGGCCCGAAACTGATGTGGAAGAATAAATCTCGTCTTTTTGTTCACCTGGTACGTTGATCCAGCGTCTTGGTGACCTGATGATCAGATTGTGATACTGTCTTGCACCCATCTGTGTAAATAGTCCAGTCAAACGTTATTGTTCTGATTTATTTTGATGCCATCCATAACAGAGCCTGCATGCGTCGGTAGCATCTGCTGCAGGTCGGTCAGGAAGTACACAGTGTCTGGTCCTGGGTTGTACAGCTGAAAGCTTTTTTTTTTTTTTTTTGAATAATTTAATGCAGTTCACATGTTTTCTGAATTAGCTTTAACACATAAAATAAATGTTAAAAGACAGAGTTGATCATACAAATAAATGTATATCTGATATTACTGACACTTGAGGATTATTTTAAAGCAACTCCGATCTTGTGAAAGAATTGGACCTTGTCCTGGCTGTGAACCTGATGAAAGGTTTCCCTTTGATCTTTTACGGGATGTTCAGCGTTGCCATCTTTTTCACTTAACACGATGCACTTTTCATATTGTATATACATTGTTTACTGGCATCGTAAAACATGGTTATATGATATTTAATTGTTGTACATTCAGATTTAAATTAATAAACTGATCACATATATCAGATTGAGACTTTCATCTGGGAGAGGAAAAAGTTTGCAAGTTTGTTGTGTTAGAGACTGATGAGGCCCAGTCACTGAAAATGATGAAAATGCAGTTATGCGATGTGATTTTCGCGGTGGTGTTTGTTTAATGGTTTCTTGGCATGCGCGGGGGGCGGGGTTTTGCTTTCTGTTTTGAAACAGTTAATTGAATGTTTACCACGCGCTTCCTGCCACGTACGGCTTAACTTCGAACCGTTCGTTCATCAGGACTAAATGTGTGTGGCATTAAAACAACAGACCGGTTCAGTTATGGTGCTGTGGGATGGACCATAGACTGTACATATACTGGACAAACGGATTACATTGGCTTCAATAACACGTTTGTTGTCTATAATGGGAGGTGGCCACCACCGCCATTTTGACCGTGTCACAGGTTCCGTCCAGCCCAGACAATTCCATAAAAGGGAAGAGAGGAGGCGCTGAGGGTGTGGCTGTAAGGCTGGGCTCGAGTGACGACACCCAGGCGAACTAGCTACGAGCTAACCTGAAGCTAACCCTGGCTAACCCAAAGCTAAAGCGGAGGTGGGAGCCGAGCTAACGGATGTAGCCACCTAGCTTCAACCCAACCGGCGCTAACTGGAACACCCATCGACCTGAACCTTACACGGAGTTTAGGTGGAGGTTTTCTGCGCCTGTTCGTGAGAAGTACCTGTATTAAAAAAGTTTTAAATCGGTAAGTTTATAATTTATTTCCGTAATGAAAACATTTTGCTTTGAGCAAGTTTTCAGTACAGTTTTTTTCGGCGCTATCACTCCTGAGTCGCACCAGCCATTAAATGTATCATGAATAAGAGAAAATATATTTAAGTCGTATTTTGGGGGGACATTTTATTATCTTCCTTACAAAATCTGAGACCAAGCGTTTCACATTGCAACACAAGCACCGGTAACCATAACAGAATGAACAACAGCCAGCAGAGGAGAGGATGGCGGTGTTTCAAACCCTCCCGGCCGGCGAGGACAGCTCATTCCTGGGCTGGAGCCGGCCCTCAGCACCCCGCCACAGGCTCTAACAGATGCTGGCGGTGTTTGAAACCCTCCCAGCGTGACAGGGGGACTCATTCTTGAGCGGGTCGGAGTCGGCCCGCAGCAGCGCGGTGTAGCCTACATATTTTGTTATATAAGTCGCTCCGGAGTATAAGTAGCAGGACCAGCCAGAATATGTAAAAAAGTGCGAGTTATAGTCCGAAAAATATTGCAGTTATTAGTATTCGAGCTAAATTAGCAGCGTAAATACATTTCATATATTTCCAAAATGTTATACTTGTTTGTATCTTGTACAGCCAACTAGTCTTTATTCTGGACTCAGTACAATTTACCAAAAGTAAAGAGACATTCTACAGATGAAGTAAGCACAAGATAACTTACTGGAAGACACGGAATTATCATCAGAACCAGAACAAGAGAGCCTGATAACAGTCGTGAAAATAACAGTTAAAAAGTATGTATGTATAATAGAAATAAAAATATATTAGAATTAGTGTAACTCACTGTGATCCAAACAATAAATCAGCCATAGCTGATTAGTAAATATGACATGAGGTCTGGGAGTTTTTAATTTTAATTTTTTTGTTAGATCTGTTTAAATGTCACCATGGCAGCCTGTGTGTCTCCAACATCAGCTACACAAAGCAGCAAGTTTAAGTTCCACATACCTGTCTCACCACTTCATGTATGGTTTTGTACTTTAAACAATTATGACAAACCTGTTATTTTTTCTCCATAGCCATTTGGATCATTGGAGACAGCTGAGTGAGGCGTGGTGCCTTGAGAGCTGCAGAGACAACCTTGGCCTCCCTGACGTCTGTGTCTCCTGGTTTGGATGGGACGGACCATCGACATACATACATGTGCCGACACTTTGCGCCCTGTTTTATAAACTGTAGTGTTAAAAATAAATGTTTTTGCTCAATTACTGGAATTTCTTTGGTTAAGACAAAAGTGAGGAATAATCATTTACAAGTTATTTGTACAACAGGCCCATTTTAAATCCCAACAGTTTCTTAGCAGACAATAGAAATGTGTTCTTTACTAACTTTACTTGGTTTAAAAATCTTACTAAAATAGTGCCGTATTGCAAAACCCAATCATACTTGTTATGTAAACATTAGCTTTGTAGATATTTTTTACAGATATATATTTGTGTGCAACAAATCCAAACTTAAATAGTTTGTCATTCTTTATTGAAAAACAACAAAATACAGTTATACAGAAGTGTGGGAAAATGATAATGTGAAAGTATTGCTATTTAAATGTAATCCTATTTATCTTTAAAAAGAAAAACTCTAAAAATGTCCTGTACAGCATCATGACAGAAGAATGGTGGTCTGTCTGTCAGAATGTGCTGAACAGATTTGCTCTTTGAAGAGGAGTGTCATGTTTGGAGGAAGGTACTTAACCCAAGACATGCAGAATACAACACTGACCAAAAACTGATGGAAAAAATGATTTCTTTATAAGGAGGAACTTAAGGTGCACAGATAAGTCTGTGGTTGGACCTGCAACAACAGCTCAGCATCTGGAGGAGGGAGAACACAGGTGAGCTTAGGTTCTGGTTTCAAAATCCATTGTAGGCAGGCAGAGGTGTTCAGCAGACTTACTGTGGTGGGTGTATGTGTTGGCTGGAGGAGAGAGAGGTAGAGAGCCGGGGGAAGCGCAGGAGAGGGAGCAGAGGTGGAGAGAAGCGGGGCGTCCTGGTGGATGGGGCAACGGGTGAGATGAGAGGTGGGTTATGGAGGCTGGTGATATGGTCCGTGTGTTGAATATCCAAATCCTGGAGTAGAGGTCAGTATCCAATGAGGTCGACAGGAATCCTGAAGAATGGTAAATCCAATATAAGAGCAAAAACACTACGAAATAACATTAATCCTAGGAACACTAGAGGTAACACGAGTGGCTGGTTACTACCAAAACTGAGGCAATCTTCTGGCGTCAAATTGTGTCCTCCATCCACCATAAATAGGAAAGCACCCCGCTGATCGCTGATCAGGAACGGCTGGGGTGGAGTCACCAGAACCATGAAGAACGTGTCTCCAGAGACAACTCGGGTCCTGGTACCGATCAGGAAAGCGGACCTTATCACCCAGAGCTGCCAGGTCACGCTCAAAGCCTTCATGTTCACGCTGCAGAGCCTGAACGCTGGCCAGGTGGTGGCCGTAGTTGTCTGTGTTCAGGGCCTGGTTCTTCTCCTCGATCCACTCTTTGGTCTCATCAGCGTCTCTGAGAAGACATCAGAACTCCGTCTGAGTGTGGGTCCAAACTCTACTGACCCGTAAGCGGCGCATAAGTGTGCGGGGTACCTGTGGAAGCGCTACACCTCATGGGCGCTGCCCAGCATGTTGCTCCGGTCTTCAGCCAGCTGTTGCAGCGAGCGCCAGCGGTTGTTCAGCTCCTGGAGAGAAACCAAACCCAGTGAGATGAAGGTGGACGCCAGCGGGCTGGACGCCGGACGAGGAAACCTGGAGACGGATCGCTCAGACAGGAAGGGAAGAGCTTCCTCTTACCTTGATGGAATTAAAGTTAGCCGTCGTCTGAACGCCCAACCGTACGGTCTGAGGTCAAAGGTCACAGGAAACACACACCAGTCAGCAGTCATACAGATGCATAAAGATAACTGTAGCCATGGCAACCAGCTGACATGTCCCCACTTTCACCAGCACCTGGTGCCTGCCGGGTCACCTGAATTCCTGTGTGATGTCAGCACGGTCGGCCGTGACTGCGGCCATCAGAGGTGACCTCTGATCAGCTGAATGAACTCACCTTCTAGGGTGACGCCGTGTTACCCCGGGTTTCCACGGGAGCCGTCAGCAGCACGTTACTGCAGCAGCACGTCTTGCTCGCGTAAGCTGCTGCTTGGCCCTTCCCACGAGACGCGAAGCAGCAGGGGAGCAGCTGTCACCGACCGAGCACGAAGTCACTCGAGTGACTTCGTCAGTAAACACAACAACAAGCAGGAGAAAACTACAACATGGTTTTTGTTTTATGTTCTGTCCGTTTTATAATCGCCAATACGGACCTGAAAAACAAAGGAGACCGCTAGCTAGGTGATAACTTCTCACGGGGACGCACAGTTAGTAACCTTTTTTAAAAGTAAAGCAACCGGAAGGCAGTACGTTCTTTATTCTGAAAATCTCGGTAGCTTCTCTCCATTTCCGCGTCCGATTTCCTGTCTTTCCTTCCCCAAAAATGTCGAACTTGACCCGTTTCAGAGGCGTCGCGCGTAGAAAATAGAATCGGCGCGTAAAGGCCGCGACATGCTGCTCCTGAGACGTGGCCGACTCGCGCTGCTGACGGCTCCGGTGGAAAAGGTTCTGTTGACCACAGCGGTTCCTATCAGCAGCTATGACGTGCTGCTGCAGTAACGTGCTGCTGACGGCTCCCGTGGAAAGCCGGGGTTAGAGTCGGCTTCATCCTGTAAACAAACAAATGAGTGGTAACAAAAACACCACGTCTGGTTCTGGTGGAGGCGGAGGACAACACGCTCCTTTCCAGGAGCAGAACCCAGATGTTCTTGTTGCTACAAACAGAGACGAGCAGAGTTAACAAACCAGGAAGTGAGAGGGACCAGCTGCTGCAGACAGGTGACGCTCACCTGAGCCTGAACCATAGGAGCCTCCTCAGCCATCAGACCTTCTGACTCCAGTTCAGATGCCACCTTGTTGATGTCCCTCAGGCGGGACTCGTTGGCCTTCAGGTCCTGCAGGACAAAAGCACCTGCTGATTATCACCTGAGCTGATCTGACAGCTGCTGCTGGAAGACGGAGAGGAGGAAAAGTCCGACCTTCTGGAAGTCGTCAAACTTCTTCTGCAAGACCTCGACCTGCTCCAGGTCCGACCCGTCTCTCCATCCTCATTCAGCTAAAGACGCGAGTTCAAGTAAAACAACCTAAAGTCACACAAACACAAAGCAGGTGTGGAGATGTTCGCTCTGAGCTGGAGGTCGTTCCTCGGCTGTGAAGGGCACACGAACCTTGTTGGTGCTGTTGAGCAGCGTGAGGATGTCGCCCTTCTTCATGGTGACCTCTCCAGGACTCTTCTCCTGGCAGTCGTACAGAGCCAGAACCAGCTCCTTCCCGGTCTCATCGTCAGTTGGAGCCACTTGTTGCTGTTGGGTTAACAGGTCTGGTGTTAGAACGTGGTGGATAAGAATGTTCTGACGGGCCGAGGGTTCTGAACCAGCGAAGTGACCTGGACCCAAACAAAGTGAGCCAGAACCTGCAGACACCTCAGAAACATGTCAGGACCAGACCTGCTCTACCTTCCTCCATTATGGTCTCTCCTTTCTGGGTGACAGCCTTGATGCGAGGTTCATGACCTGTGATCTCAGCCTGCAGAGCCTCGTGCTTCTTCAGCAGGTTCTGGACACCAATCAGGTCCTTCCCTGAGGACACATGTTAGAGTTCAGCATTATGCAGTAGACAGACCAGTTTAACCCAGGGGTTTCTTTCTTCTACAATATGCTCTTTAACTGTATTATTTCCTGCTATTTCAGCTGTTAACTTTATTTTTTCTGTAAGTGTTTTTCTCCCCAGAAGAAGCTACAATGGTGTTCTGCTGAGCTGTGGTGGCCTCATGGAGGGGGCCATCGTCTAGCACACTGCTGCTAACCACTTAATCATTCTCCCTCTCCTGATAATAACATTTTACTTTCTTTGATGTTGGATGTGCTACTGCTAGTTTACCCGTTTAATTATAGATTCACTAGGATAAATACAATAAAGTTTATCTCTCGCCAAATAGAATATTTACTAAAAAATCACAATGTAACGTGTGTGTGTGTGTGTGTGTGTGTGTAAAAGCCATGTGTAGTGTTTATTTATAAAGCATATGTTGTTGGACTTTATCCAGAATCAAGACTTTGAAAATATATAGTTTAATTACAGTTTGATTTATTTGACATCTGTATAATGTTTATTATTTAATTTTTTCCCCCTAAATACCTAACGTTTTAGTTAACATGAATATTAGTCATTCATCACAATACATGAAGTTACACATTTTAAATTTTAATAGGGGAAGACTGCAGGAGGGAGCAGTAAAATACAGGGGGTCCCCTGCAAAAACTAACTTTACGAGTCTGATGAAAGTTGCTGGTATTCCCGCTGCTTCTTCGGTAAACAGCGCCAACAAAAACAAAGAAACTTGGGATCTTGTCGGCGTGGCAGTGGGATTTAAGGGAAACGCTGTATGCCCTATAGACTTCTCAACGAGCTGCAGTATTTCTCCGGTCAGATCTGTCTCCGAGTTCCACGAGCGGTCAGCCCGCAGCAGCGAGGCGCCGCATCGATCAGCCTGCCCGGCCTGACCGCTGGGGATTACCGGATGAAAGAATAGAGCACAGAAGTGTCCCCCCAAGCGGCGCGCCCCGTCATATTTCAACCCATTTTTATCTTAAATGCACTGGGTTTTACCCTATTACCCATTTAAATATGCCCTATTAATTATTTTACCGTATTTTACATTTAAATTTCATGGTTAAACAGTACATGCTACATGTTAAACTGATAGTTAGCTAGCTACTTCGGTAAACTCAGCTAGTTTAAAGGCAGCAGTGACATAAAATACAAATATAGATTTTAACTTACCGAAAAAAATGAAGTGGAGACTCCTTGGACGCTCTATTAGTGCAATTAATACCACAGCAAGTCATTTTGTCCAACAATTGCACCAATATTATCCAAAACAGAATTCACAAGCACAGAGACTCAAAATCCCGACACAGTTTCCAGGAGAGACCGAGGCTGTACTGAGGCCTTTCCACGGAGCTAGCTCTGTGGTCACGTGGGTCTGAGGCGGCGGTCACGTGTGTCGGATGCTCATTAATTATACAGAATTTTAGGCTTTCAATACACTTAAACAGAAGAGTGAGAAAAAAATTCACCCCCCTCAGAGTTGTCATGAGTATAAACTAGATAATTTAGACGAAAAACCATTTTTTGAACCAGGCTGTAAACATGTTTATTTCTGCTGTGAAAATGGCATTTTTAACATGGGAGTCAATGAGGATTTGCTCGCTTCTGGTACCAGCCCCCAGCGGATGAGGGTGGAACTGCAATTTTTCTTACTTCCGGGTTGGGACCATTTTCTGAGCGGCATTGTGGGGGCTTGGGATGGACCGAACCGATCCAGGTGGGACTAATTAGTGACCACTTGGGGTGCTCTGTGTGACAGCCACAGGTTAGTTTGAGTTCATGAAATAGGAATGTAAATGCCACTCGGACAGGAAAACCTGATTTATTTTTGCTATTTTACGTTTAAATTAAACCTATATTTACCTAAAACTTAACTGTTGATTTGATAACTGAAAGTGAACAGATAAACGTGGCCGTTTGACCGCTGCTAGCATCATTTTGGGCGGTTTCGCCGCAGCAGTTCACACCGCTCACTGACCGCCAGCCTCTCCTGGTATGTATTTTTATAGCTATTTAACAAGACAGTAAGCTGTTAAAATATTCTGTTACGGGAACACAAATACACGATTTAATTATTTTTATTCAGGCGGTAGCATATACTACTAACATGCTAACTAGATGGTCCAATCCCCCTGCTCGGTGTGGAACATAAACATGTTATCAGGAAAAGATGACCCCAACAAAGGTACCCTTGACTTCAGTGCCTCACCTGCTTGTGACGACACAGAATGATGTATTTATATAGTTTATTTACTCATTTGCTACAGGAATACAGCAACGTTAACGCTAACTTCAGTTTGTTTGTGAGGGAAATCAAAGCAAAACACTGAAATAAAGATGGCTAGAACTTGGTAATGTTGTGAAAATGTATTGGTATTTATTTCAAATAAATATCAATACATAAATATTTAAAGAAAACCCAACAATTTGGCCTCTCTTTCATTTCATAAATTTATTTATGAAAGAGGGCCAAATTAAAGGGGACATGTTTTTTCTTCATTTAAAATCTTTACTTTTGTTGTTGATGGCAAGCTCTTACTTTATTTTTTTAAATTGCCATCAGAATAGTTTACAGTAATTTTGAAAAATTTAAATATTTCACACAAATCTGGCATGCGTGCCTGACTTAACTTTTTTCCAAACAAATTAAATAACACAAAAAGTCACAAAGATTTAGAGGAAACGTATACACAACTAAAGTCTAAGTTTAAAAAAAATCATTAAGTTAATAAATGAATCACTTGCATTAATATGTAATAGTTATTCCAACGTTACACAGTAAATTAGTTTGAATAGGGATAGTAAGAAGCATAGCTTATTTTACCTACCCCTAACTTAGTTATTCACACTACAGTCTTGGTAATATTATCAGAGCTCAACAACCTGTTTAAGTACAACAATCTGTTCACATAACACACAAGTTTTGCATCAGATTTTATTAAAACTAAAGTATTCTAACATCACAGCACATATCACTCTTCCTCTTGTCTGTATCTGGACATCATCAATTATTTGTATGATTTTTTTTTGGAATTGTAGCATACTGTAGAGATGTGGATTGGTGAAATTCTGTTGATATGATACGTATCACGATACAGGGGAGACGATACTATGTATCACGATGTATTGCGATACATTCAGTCAGATGTTATTAGCGATTTTTATCGTCCAAACTGTTACTTATCTTGATTAACATGAGGTATCTGAACCATAATAGGGGAATTCATGTTTCAATGGTGGAAACAAAACCCATTGCATACTGCTGCCAACTGTTCATGATACCATCAGCTCCCCAACACTAGCAGCTAGGGCGGCACAATATATCGAAAAATTATCGTCATCGCGATAACAGGACGTGCGATAGGCCCATCGCAAAACACGTCAAAAACGGCGATAAATGTTTGGTTCAAACATTTCCTTCCGTGTCATACATCAACTTTTTGTAAACCAGCTCTGTTTTTTACGCGGAAGTATTATTTGACCAGTCAAATGTAGCCCTTCTGATATGCGGCCAATCAGATGGGTCCGTTCACGTAATACGCCTGCCCCCTACGTAGACCCTTAGGATGGGTGGAACGCATTACCCGAACTGAGTTGTTAGCGGCGCCGTTCCCTTGTTCGTCATGCTGGCTCAGATTAACGAACGCACTTTGTGCTGAGGTTTCTGGAATCAGCGCTGCTTTCAAACGTGAACGTGAGTCCGCTCGGTGTCGTTAAGCAGCTGATAATAACCGGCTGACTCCGACATGTGCCGGTGAACCAACCCACCCACCTCCATGTCGCTAGTGTTCCACCAGGTGGTGATGTTAGCCCCAGGCTCCGGTTAGCTTCCAGCTAAAAGGCTACAGCACTCTCCTCCCAGTCCCACCCTGCTAAAGAGGGCCTGGAAAAGTTCCCCCACACATCAAAGTGATTTTTCATTTATGAGCTTTTATAACCTTGTTAATCAGGATAGTTGATTTGCTGCTGCACATAAACCGTCAGTCAGAAGCTCTGCTAGCCGGTTATCTTAGAGGAGCTAGTTCAATTTGTTAGCTTGTTACAAGAATCATAGTTGCAGTTTCATCATCTGAGCTGCTTTTTAAGATCTAGGTAAACTTGTTCAATTTGGGGTTAAAAACAAACGTTTTCACATATTTCCATGTAGTTTTTTGCCAGTTCCTCTTCTGAAAGATAGACGATTGTTTTTCTTTTTCCCTCAGCAAATCTTAATATTCTCCTAGTTTGGCCCGGCACAGTTCACTTCCCAATAGCAGCAACAGCCTTATATCATAACCACATAAGTGGAGAAAATGTTCAGTAGCAATGAGAGAATTTGCTGTTGCATGTAAGTGATGTTAACTATTATTTAACATTTAAACTATTTATTCAAAAACCCTGGTAAGGGATGTTTTTCTGTATTTGGAGCATCAGAAGAAGTTTTATGGTGGAGGTGATGTTTTAAAGTCACCGAGAAACTGCATGCATGCAGTTTGTTGTTTTGCTGCTAATGCAGTAGCAGGTGCAGCTGCTAATGCAGTAGCGGGTGCGGCTGCTAATGCAGTAGCGGGTGCGGCTGCTAATGCAGTAGCGGGTGCGGCTGCTAATGCAGTAGCGGGTGCGGCCGCAAATGCAGTAGCGGGTGCGGCCGCTAATGCAGTAGCGGGTGCGGCCGCTAATGCAGTAGCGGGTGCGGCCGCTAATGCAGTAGCGGGTGCGGCCGCTAATACAGTAGGAGGTGCAGCTGCATAGTTTTGCAATAAAAATGTTATGTTGTAATGGAATTCATGCATTAGTTTTTGTTTGCTTTGAACCCAGAGCAGACGTCACACGCCAGACGACATCAACACTGCATACTTTAGTATTTGTTCATTTATCGTGAGTAATCTCGATATCGCAATATTAAGCACTGTTATCGAATATCGCAGGTTTTCCTAATATTTTGCAGCACTCAAATGGGCCATTCCCATCTGTACTGGGTCGGCCCGGGCAGGGTAGCCCCAGTTGGCCCCAGCCTGGCCCGGTTGATTCCACCCATCCTTGCCTAAAGCCCATGTGGGCTGATTCTACCCACCAATCAGAGGCTTGCTCTAATGGAAGGTGTGAATTTGCTGTCAGCAGTGGGTGTGTTGGCCCTGGTCGGCCTGAAGCAGACCCCCTCGAGAAGAGGGCTGAGAATGAGCCTTGGTTGGCCCGGAAAAATACCAGGCCACCCAGATATGTAAACAACCTACACTACCCGGCCCGGGCCGACCCGGTACAGATGGGAATGGCCCTATACAGCTCTACATAAGGACACCACCACCACCGTGTTTCACTGCAGGCACCATGCATTTTTCTTTGAAGTCCTCACCTTTACGACACCATACAGTTTTGACACCATTAGTTCCAAAAACAGTGATCTTTGTCTCATCACTCCAGAGTAAAAAGTCCCAGTAGTCTTCATCTCTCAGCATGGGCCCTAGCAAATCCTAGGCCTGCTTTTTATCCATGAGCTTTGCGTGTGGTGTCACGGGAAACAAGTCACTCCAGTTTGGCTCTCTACTGCTTTAGCTAACTGCAGTGAACTTGCATGGTGATTTGCTTCAACCCTTCTCATCAGAAGATGCTTCTGTCGAGATGTTAACTTCCATAGACGGTCTGGACATCTGTAAGATGGTTGCACTTCCATCTTTCTTAAATGTTTGGATGACTTTTGCTACATTAATTTGACTGATATGTAAGTTTTGCTGATCTTCTTGTAGTCCTCACCTTTTATGTGTCAAGAAATGATTTCCTTTCTCAGACTTTGTGACATTTCTCTTCCATGTGGAGCCACTGCTGACAGCATCAAATGGGAAGAGCTTTTCTTTAAGTAACGCCCTTTTCTAGTCACCTGTCTGCTGGACACCTCTTAAAGGAATCATTAGACTCACCTGTGGTTGAATTCCTGTTAATTAGAATTTTGTGTGGCTTTTCTCCTAAGACTATAGTTGAGATGTACTCATTTTTGCAACATGAATGGATTTGATGGGAAAATCACTTTTTTGTCTTTGCAAATGAGCTAATTTGGTTTGCAGTCAATGGCCCACATTTGTGGGAGCATTTAGTAGTATGGTATCTCATAGAAAATGTTGATTCTGGAAGGAAACTAAAGATTCTCTGACAAATGTAGGGTGTACTTAATTATGCTGAGCACTGTATGTTCCCAGTGGATCCAACTCATCACCAGATGATCAGTTGACAACTCAGTCCCTGGCTTGACTTGAGTCTCTAAGACTTGAGGCCGTAGGTCAGACAATACTTTTATAAAATCAATAATCGACACTTGGTCCTAAGTGACCTGGTAGCAGGTACACCGTCCTGCGCTCAAACATGGCGTTTGTTATGGACAGTCCATGTCTATATGACACAATGTTGGCAATCCAGGTCACAGAAGTCCAAAAGCAAGACCCCACTTGTGTTCAGATCAGGGAGACTGTTCCTCCCAAACACACACACCTGGCCAAGCCACAGGACCCAAGACTCGATAAACAAGTGCTCACAGACAAGCTCTCCTAGATCCAGACGATTCCCTGGTCGTCCACACCCATATAAGGTCATCTTCCTTTCATGGTCATCCTTCATCAATGCCATTGAACTGCTGTTATGCTGAATCTTCTCCTGAGGCCACATTGCCATGGGAGACCGTACCAGGGGCTGGTGCCCAATACAACCCAGCCCCCAGGATCTTGGGGGTACTCAAACATCTCCACCACAGTAAGGTGGAAGTTCAGTAGAGTTGTGCGTGTTTCTGAGTCACATTTTTTGGCTTCTTCTGATTTTTTAATTTAATTTAATTTTTTAAATGACTACAGATAATCTCACCCTTAGTATCTTTACGCTGGGTTGCTTTTGTGTATTTTAATCATGGCTTGAAGGTGATTTGAGGTACTCTTGTAGCTGTAATCATAAAAATAAATGGCTTCCCAACTTGTAAAGAACATACTGTAAATGACCATGTCATTTACACGCTGTGTTATTCTGGACTGAAAATAGTTTAGTGTCCCTTTGTAGTGTGAGCTAGCGTTGAGTCTGCTTGCTCATCCATAAAAGGCTGTTTTGTTGGCTGTATTTGTTATACTGGAGGGGCTTTAAAGATAGCAAAGTATTGTGTTTCTCCTATCTTCTAAATAGATAACTGGGTTTAAAGATAACTTCAATTCTCTCAAAGATTAACCCAAGCCAGGCTTTATAGCTATCAAATTGCTGTTGTTGCACAAAAATCATAGGTTTGTGGATAAACTTGGTTCTCTGGAACAAATGTTGACCACATAGTGCACACCGAGTGATATTTAGAAGTCACCAAGTTTTGTATTGAAGTTGTGATGATTTGTTCTGGTTTTCTGTCAGACTGTGACACTACCTCTGTGTTCTGATTAGATTTACTTGGTGAACGCTGCTGAAAGGCTTTGACTAAACCAAGACTTATCTGATGATTCTCTGTTGGAAGCAGGATTGACACTTGGAGCTCTGAGGAGATAAGACACTGATTTACTTCTCATCCTTAAAAGATTGGTCTGTAGTTGAACAGTTCATTGGCCTTTATAAAGGTTAGGCAGAAATAGCGTGGGTCTCAGGGGTCTTGAGCTCTGGTTTCACAGCATTGCTGTTGTGGTAGGATCCAATAACGAGCTGTTTGTGCACGAAGCCGTATCATCGAACCGTGACGTTATCGGTGGAGGCCTTTTATCTATCAGCTACTCTTACACATTGTGTTTTGCTTTTGAGATTCTGTAAGCTTTGTACTAAAAATACAACATGATGTTTTTATAATGGTTTTTTTCCATATATTTTTCTACGCTCCTATCCTTTTCATTTATCCCTTGCTAAAAGTTACCTAATTCATTTCCTCATAGCAGACGGACTTTGGCTGCCAGCCCAGTTCAGAGCCACTCCCCCTTCACTGGGCTCTAAAAAGGTAACAGGCTGCTTACTTCTTGGTTTACTGCTTTAGTAAACTTGGACTGAACCCAGTGCTCAGCTGGACCTAGATGTTTTTGTACAAGAGGAGCAAAGAGCACCAAAGTTACTGGTGGGAGCGACCGTGGATCCAGATCTTCAGTAGGTCTGTATAAATAAAGTCATGTTACATTAGCAAGGACAGAAAACGAAGCTAATGACTGCACAGGGGGCATGCTGTTATTGATGCACGGCTGGTTTTGAACACAAGAATGGAGAGGTGGTGGAATGGCATCTGACTCGCATCTATGGTCTGCCCAGTTAAGTGGACCTGCTTTTGCTTGGGAAGGAAAGTAGTGAGGGCATTACCGCTCAGAGGATTAAGTGGGAAAAATCACAACTGACTGGTGGCCTTTGAAGAAACTTCAATTGGTGTAATGAAGATCATTTCAGTCTCGCGTTATTCTTTGAAATGCTGTTTATGCAGGCTTAGTGTCCCAAAGTTTATTTTCCATGAGATTTATTTAGCCACAAGCAATCCGGTCATTCCGGCCTCAGGTGTAGTTGTGCCACCAACATCATTTCTAACTAATGTGCTCCTGGTCTGTGTTGCATTTCACAGTTTGCTTCGAAGAGGAATTATGGCCAGATTTCAATGTGAGAAGCAGTTTGACGAGGCTGTTTTTTTTATTGTCGAGATTGAAATTGACCTACCTGTCCACCAAATCTCATCTTAATTTATTCTCATTTGATTTAGTGACTTTATAAACGCTGACCTGTTTTAATTAAATGTCACCAGCTTTAGACCTGAAGGTGAGCCACATTAACTCCTAACAGGCTACATGCTCATAGTCCAGGTTTTCCAGGCGTAGCTTTAAAAACGTGTTTTTGAGTGAAATTTAATCTTGCTTCATAATCATTTAAAGCTACGCTCTGAGTAGTTAATAATTTAGAAATGTTTTCTTTCTGGTCTTCAGTTTTTTTATATCAGAATTAACACCGTTCTTTTGTAGAATAATTTAGGAAATAATATTGTAAAAGTAGTTTTTCCAGGTTATAAATGCAGAATAGTGTTAGGATCAGTTGACACATGATGGCTAAATCAGCCAGAAGCATTCTTGGCTCAGAGTAAATCTATAAAGTTTTAGATGGACGTGTTTAGTTTGTATTACTAAACCTTTTTAGGATCTCTGCGGTCTGATACGTTGGTCTTTTGTGGTTCCTCTACAACAGTGGTGCTTTTGTGGTCGTGGCTGGGCGAGTTTGGAGTCTAACCTGCCTAAATGAAGACAACAGCCAGGATGTTGAGACAGCTGTTTATTTCTCAGGCTGAATGCCTGAAAGTTTATGTAACACTTAAATCACTGCGCGTTGTTTCACCAACTGTTGCTTTAATTATTCTGCTTGCTGAAACTGCTCCAGCAGGACCGTAAGGTCCATCTTTTCTTTTTCTTATTTCTTGTCTCCAGAGGAAAACCTGAACAGATTTAAATAATCCTTCGTCTGACTGTTTTTGTAGGTTCTGTAAAGGTAAAAAAGTATGATTTCAATATCCAATTCTGTTTTTTCTCCTCTTTCATGATGTTCAGACCTGCCCAGCAAACGTGATGGATTACAGAGCTGCTCGGCAGAGGAAATGTTCACATCTGAGTCTACACGAGTGGCCAAATTCTCATCACAACAATAAAATGTCTCATAAGACACTTGGTGATCCTGTTGGGAGCTCCGTTATAGTGCCACACAGCAGCAGACAGTTTGCTCTCTCTTCTCAGAGTCTTTACACGTCTGCATCACCTGATACCAACAGTATTTCCAGCCAGAAGGAAACCGAAGCTAGGAGCTCCCCTTACTTCTACATGGACCGCTGCTTTGGCCGACATTCCTCTGTGTGTAGCATGAATGAGACTTTTATCGTCACACCTAAAAACGGTATTCAGAATGAACATATTAAATCTGAGACACCTCCAAGTTTTAGTGGGCACAGCAAGGACCGCGGTAATGATGAAGTCACCTCTCCTGACCCTCCATGGAAGGAAAACAGACTAAATTCAGGTGAGGCTTCTTGTGAGAATGACTACTGCTTCCTACCTTCTACAGAAACGATGAGAAGTGTCGGCTTCACTCTGGAGGAACAGAAACTCGTTGCTGTTTCTTTGCTGGAAGAGTCAAACATTCCCTCAGCTGCAAGTCCCCTGTTTACGGCAGAGTCAAGCCTGATGTCAGCCATGCTGCCGGTTTGTGAAAAATTAGCAGATAAAGTGTCTGAGATCTCAGGCCATCCTAGTCTCGGTGTTACTTTCATTCAGTCAGACAACTTGGAGCTTCTTAAGGATCCTGTAACCACCAGCTCTCGTGGTGCTTTGCCAAGTGAGAGTGAAGGAGATCTCTCGACAACTTTCATCTGGGACACAGCTACAGATCTCACAAATTCTGAAGGAGAGCAGTTGACTTCCTTTACAAAACCTGCTGTGTCGGCCATTCGAGAAAGTCCCGATGATCTTCAAACTTCCACTCCAGGACAAAACGTAGAGGTAAAAATGTCTTCCCTCCCTTTCTTGTGACCTTGCATTGAAAAGGTAAGAAATCCTAGGACTCTGGCCTAAAAAATGGCAACAGTACCCGCCACTCCTCAGCAGTGTTCACTTGCAAGGCTCACATGTTCACTCAGCTAGGTCAGGAAAATAGGAATTCAGAAGTTTTCTAAGTCAAACTTAATTGGAATGAAATTCAATGTCTAAAAGCTCCCACCAGGTGGCAGTGCCAGGTCCTGCTTCACAACAGAAATCAGTTAGCGCCTGGGAAATCTACTAAAGTAATGAGTGGAACCAAATCTGCCTATAGCATGTTATGTCTTATGGATCTGTGAATACAAGGGCTGCTAGTTAATTGTTAAACAATCGTGCTCTGTTGTAGATGGATAATCCAAAACCAAAAGCTACTTCATCCAACCACCGCCCAGCTGTGAGGGGCCCTGCTTCTGCAGCCCGAGCCATTGAGATCAGCTCAGAAATGATGCAAACAACCTCCAGCCAAGTATCATCGGCCCCAGCACACCAGGCTGCCACTCGGATTGCTGGTTCAAAAAAGGCCCCAGCTCGAAGTGGCCAAACTGACCCCAAAGACCCCAAACCTACCCCAAAGAAGGATGCCAGTAGAATTCGGGTAACGGCAAGCTCGGTTGTAGGTCAACAGAAGCCTACTGTGGGAAAGACGTGGAAGCCTCGCCTCCAGAAACAACATACAGGTGGGACTCCTCTTTGATGAAATGGTTTTTTCTTTTCCAGAAATCTATAAAACAGTTTTCACGCTGTTGACTTGAAAATGTTTCTGTAAAATGGTCTTCCCATCAAAGCATTTGTATGGTCCCTTCTGGGTTCTACAACCCCCCAAGGTGCTTCACAACACCTTCTTTTATCCACCCATTCACACACAGGTGCTGATTAGCTGCTATGTAGCCACACACTAGTGCCACCGGTTCCTCCGACCACCACCAGGCAAGGCAGGCTAAGTGTCTTGCACAAGGACACAACAGCAGCTTTTTCTGGTGGGTTGGGGTTAGGGATCAAACCTTCAACCTTCCGATTACTGGACAACTCGCTTTACCTGCTGAGCTTCTGCTGTCCCCCTGTTGTTAGGAACTGTGCTGGATACATGTTTAACGATCACATTATGGCCTTCTACAGACAGTTTCTTTATGTTACTGGTCTTCCCAGTGATGTGAAGTGTTGGTGACATCATCTGTGCAACTGAACATAATTTGATTCTGATGTATTATTTGTTTAGAAAAAGTCTGAGGTTAAAGCATTTGAAATGGATCTTTCAGAGTTTGGCAAGAGGCAGGTGTTTAGTATAAAAACAGAGGTCTGTTTGAATTTTTACAGAACCTAATATGTTAGAGACCAAGAGATGGAGCATTTCAGGTTCAGTGACATTGAAATGGACACCTACTCAATCAAATGTATGCCACGGATTTTCTGTTTGAG